CTGTGGAACAGTGTAACTCAATTTAAATTCATTTATTATATCAATGCATCAAATTGACAATATACCACATTCATAACAGAAAAAAGACGTTATCAAGTACAAATATAACAACCATTTCTATGGAGCAGTGCCACTCAGTTACACATTTTTAAATGCATACCTGAATCAATTGACAATATATTACATTCATACCCGAAAAATAGATTGCTCACTTAGCAAAGTGTTGATCGAACAAGTAGTTTAAACGATTGAATTGAACCTTATTTCATGTAGTTATGTTGCTCCCAAACGATTTAAAAATGGCAAACTTTTGAAAATTTTCAGTCCTTCAGTTTGAACCTTCCGGACAGGAGCTTGTTTGAACCTTGAATATAGGTAATTATCAAAAATTAAAAATAAATCTTTTAATGGAATTTTAATTTTGGGTGTATTTTTGCTCATGAAAGCTTTAAAACTGTCCAATATATATTTTGAAATAATGTTGAAATGTTTATAATGGCCTGTATATTTTAAATTCTTACATTGTGTAATAATGACACATTTAAGATGAAAATTTTATTTTAAATTGTTGCACTTATTTCCTTTTAAAATCGGCACTTTCTTTGAATTTTAATGTTTGCGACAGCCAAATGTATATACATGTCCGTTATTAATGTAAACTTGCAACAGTATATCTTTCTTTGGTATATCAGTCACACAAAGTTTAATTAATTTCAACGATTCCAAATATTTGAATGTGTATGCTGTTACTTTAATAGTGTGTATATGTTAAACAGATACACTTGTTTACCAAACAGAGAACGAGAGGATAGTTTCATAATTCAATTTTATATTAAGTCATTTGCATTCAAAGCGAGCTTCGAGTTTTATTTTTTATCTTTTCCTTCACTAATAATAAATATAAAATTTCAATAAAAAGGCTAGAATTGATGAAATGTGAAATAAAATATTCATGTTTTATTCTCTAGACGAAGAAGCAACTTCTTTAAGAGTGCATATTCATAAGAAACGTGATATTCTCAGACCTAGCAGTGAATGGTCGATATAGAATATGAAATCAAACACCAACAAGGGAAGGTGACATGCAATGAACGCTATATATGCTTTAAATGATCACACAACAAACATATGGAAGATCGATATAGCCAATTTTACATACATCATACTGATTTAAACTTGAAGTTATAAACAAAATATAACTCTGTAAATAAACATATAAGCCAAACTAGTTTTTGAAATGCGCCTTGTGAACTACTAAACCCTTGTTTTAATACACAAATTATCAGCACTGCAAGGTTATGGTTAAACTGGGACTTACAAACTGTTTTGGCCCAGGTTTAAATGAGTATCTTAAAACGACCTTTATCAAAACTAGTTTATTCAAAGTTTATTCATATTGAAATTGACAAGTAAATAAAAGTTGGTAAATTAACTTTTAAATTAATAGTTTTTGGTTTATATATGCATGGTACTTTTACCCCCGAGTATCCCATTTCTATTATTTGTTCTTTTATTGTTTCCACGTGCGGACTATGAGTATATTCCTTATGTTCGTTAATACCTGGTCATTAATTAATTAAATATCTATCTGTTTAGTTAGCAACAACTGTTTTAATGTAATCATAAACTTTACACATAATCTTAATGATTCTCAGTGTTCACGTTCTTACATAATCTTCATTTTTAGTTCTTACTCATTCGTTTAAGTTTATTTCCATGATGGAAAATCGCGAAATTACTTTTGTTGCAATAGTGACTAAATGTAAATGACTCAATGTTTACACATGAGCAGGAAAAATAATAAGAATCAAGTTTAAACATTATGATTAAATGAGCGCATTGTTTTTTATGTTTCATTTGTAACATTGTCTTTGGCATCGATATTTTCTACTCCGATCTCAAGTAACGTCACCGTCTTAGCATTGCTTACGTAGTTTATTTAACTTTAGCCAGCCGATGGAAACTGATTCTACTCAGTGACTAGATCAGGTGTTACATTTATGCAATGTCCGTTATTTAGTAGATATACATTGTATATAATGCGTTCCAGAATAAAAAAGGAAATTCCAGATGTCCTTTTTCCGGGGGTCGACCTTTAGGCACTTTTTCAGCAACAGATTTACATGCAGAGATAGATACATTGTGAGACTAGAGAGATAGGGGAATAATTCCCCTATCTTTTAAACCTCAGACGAAACGCATAGTACCTGTCCGTTCTGCGGATGATATTTGACTATCTTTTTATAGGGGTTTATTTTCTAATGATAATTTTGCAAACTGTTGTTTGGAGTTATTTGCTAAATATGCATAAAAGTATATTGTTCATACTTTAAAATGGTTCTTGTTGCTGGGTCGTATGGGGTTGCGTTTATTGGACGCCGCCTTTCCTTGTGATCTTGTTTATCATATTTTAATATTACTGTCATTTTTGCATTCATTTTCCGAAATCGCAAATGGTGTAATACTATTTTACGAAATGAATAAATATGATATTTTTTCTCCATATTTCTCATTCGTTAGTATGTTCTTTGCTGATTATTGTTATTTGTGTAGATGAAAATATGTTCGTGATATATGGTTTTACCCCCGTTTATATGATGATGATATGATCAATGACAAAATGGACCCAGCCAACATTCTATATCGGCCCGACATCAAACCTATATGGTTTTCTATAACGGCCCGACATCGGATTAAATCTCGGCTGCAAATAGGAATGATGTCGGCCCGACATCGGTAGTACAATATCGGGCCGATGTCTTAACAATATCGGCCCGATATTTCTTGCCTACATCGGGCCAACATCAAATCAACATCGGCCCAATATTTGTTGCCTACATCGGGCCAACATCAAATCAACATCGGCCCAATATTTCTTGCCTACATCGGGCCAACATCAAAACAATAGCGGTGCGAATGTCAGCCAACAGAAGATATCAGCCCTACATTGACCACGTATGATCCTTAGGCTAGCCTGTTGATTCTGACAAGCAACAGGCATTTGGCATAGCCTGCAATTTAAACATTTCTTGTTGTTAACTTCCTTAAAGGAGAAACAAAATCACAACAAATGAACTAAATTCAATAATCAATTTTAATAATTCTAAACAATGACAAAATTTGATCACATTATTATCATTAAAAGCACATTGAAAGACAACTTGCAAAAATGCATGTTTTATTGAGATATCAACAGTTTTAATTTGAAAATTAAGGGCATGGAAATGACAAAATTTGATTTTTAAGTGTTTAAAGCAATGTATTTTAAGTACTTTGAATGCAATGAATCTTTGTTTATATTTCTGATTACAACAGATACAGAATACCTAAAATGAAAGAAGTTTGTATACCTATTTGTTGGCATCAATCAAAAAGAAACATGCCCAAAACAAAGGTTAAAGACACTAGAGATGCTTTAAAGATCTTATCAATTAATCTTTTTTTTTCCTTTGAAAATTGGAGAGAAATAGCAATTTATACATATATTACCTTAAGACTAGAGTAACAATATATATACATGTTTACAAATAATGAAAAGAACTGTTTATTTGAAAAATTATGAAATCATAAAATAATTAACAAGGAACACACAAACAAGAGCTGTCGGTAGGACAGCAACGCTCGACTATTCTAGTGCTTGATGGTAAAAAAAAATGCTTGATAGAGTTACCTACTCCTGTTTACAGGTTGGTGTCATGATGGTGAACAAGTATGCAAAGTTTCAAAGCCATATGTCAATGGACTTTGAAAATATTTGAGGTGTATTACAAAAAACTATTAACGTAAATTTTAAGTCGAAAAAGGGGCATAATTCTGTCAAAATGCTTGATACAGTTACCTCCTCCTGTCTACAGGTTGGTGTCATGATGGTGAACAAGTGTGCAAAGTTTCAAAGCCATATGTCAATGGACTTTGAAAATATTTGAACTATTACAAAAACTTTAACGTAAATTCTAAGTCGAAAAAGGGGCATAATTCTGTCAAAATGCTTGATACAGTTACCTCCTCCTGTCTACAGGTGGGGGTCATGATGGTGAACAAGTGTCCAAAGTTTCAAAGCCATATGTCAATGGACTTTGAAAATATTAGAGGTATTACAAAAACTTTAACATAAATTCTAAGTTGAAAAAAGGGGCATAATTCTGTCAAAATGCTTGACAGAGTTACCTCCTCCTGTCTACAGGTTGGGGTCATGATGGTGAACAAGTGTGCAAAGTTTCAAAGCCATATGTCAATGGACTTTGAAAATATTTGAACTATTACAAAAACTTTAACATAAGTGGCTTACGCCGACGCCGACGCGGACGCTCGGGTGACTACATAGCTCTACTTATTCTTATCGAATAGTCGAGCTAAAAAACAGTAAAATATAACTGACTTATTTAAACGAATTGGACAACAAACATGACTAAAATAAAACAAAATTGTTAATGAATATAAACAACCTCAACAAACTGCTAACATTAAAAAAAGATATGTCATGCAAATATATAATTCAATTATGCAGATTTTACAAATATTTATATCCGTAAGATAAAATACATCAATATGAACTTGTGATTAGACTATTTATGTAAGAGTGTAATTTCCAAGCAAGATGGTAAAATACTGAATTTAAAAACTTGAAAAAATAAATATCTTCAAACCTTACAATTAATTTATGGTTGTTATTTAATTTGTATCTGGAGAAACATTGAATGTAAAAATCAATGACTTTCAAATTGAATAATAATGAGTTTAATTGGCACAAAGAATAACATATAATAAATTTGGCACAAGACTGATGTAAAACATATTAAATCATCAAAACAAAATAAAATATATAGAGAGTGTCAAACAAGTTAATCATTGTAAAATTTAATACTGGTTGGCATTTTAAGCAATAAAAAACATGGTAATAATTATTACATTATGAAAACAAATGCATAAATATTTGACTCAAATGAAAAACAAGCTGGAACAAAAAAGCTATATAGTTTACTTGCTGCAAAAACTATTTGTGTGTGTGTCAAAGTACAAAAATAAAGTTTAAATACAGAACCTCTTGTCTCTTATTACATAAACCGCGGCACAGGAGTGTAATAAAGCCATTTAATAAAACCGATATTACACTAGTGTAATAACAATTTTATGGGACACATTTGCACTATCTATAAACATGGCGTTAAAGCAACAGTAAACTAGAGCAGTCATCGATAGAGACAATATCGATGTATCATTGATATTTTCTGTTGAACAATAATCAATACAAAATTGAAAAAAATTGATTGTTTAAAGGTCTATAAAAAATGAAAATTCACTAAAAAGATACACAAAAGCAGATGGCCGTGTCTAACACTAAGCTGTTGCTCCATAATGGACACATTTCATAGCAGTTATGACAAAATATAATCAGAAAAAAAATCATGCAAAGGTACACAACCTATCTATTTTACTAAAATCATTTTAAACAGGTATAAGAAAATAAGAGTATTTTTAGATATATTGGTGTAATGCCAATATTTAGTCAGCCGATATCAATGTATCGTCAATATGCTTTGCACTGAATCTATGACAGCACTACAATAAACTTTTCTTTTTTTGAATATGTGATAAATAGAATATTATATTTTTGTAGATTCAACACTTAATTTATTGAACTCGTTGAATAAAACAATATTATGCTCGCATAATGATTTTATTCAACTTGTTCAATAAATTTAGTATAAAACCTACTCATTCTACATCCTCCATATTTCAAGGAAACATACTTTGAAATAAAAATTTACATCTACTTCTGTCAGTGCAAGGGACCCACAATATTTCATGATACTAACATTTTTAAATCAATGATTTTTTCCACATGCTTTATCAAAGCTTTCACATTGGTGATTTACAGAAAAAAGAGAGAAAATAAATGGTGCATAACTAGTAAACAGTATTTAAATGCTAATGAAAGTTCTCATGTTTTATCAGTCCATGTAAGTATAATTATGTATCTTTTTTGGAGGACAGTTTTGAAATCTCAGTTTTCTAAATTTTCACTTGAGGTATTTGTGGCTGCCTTTCTATTTTTACGACCTCCCTCACGGTCTTTGGCTGTCCTCAACCATTCTCTGGTTATAAATTCGACCTCTGCTGTGGTTGTTCCTGGTGTGGTCTTCTGCACTGCCTCTGTAAATTACATAAAAAACGCAATGTTCATTTGACTTTTTTACAGTGATATTCTCTGTATGTCTTGTTTAAAATTTTTGCAAGTTAAGGAAATTATTTGAATAAGTTCACCTGCTCTTCATTGTTATGACAACTGAAATGTACATACCTTCAAAACGTTTGAGTAACAAATAATGGGCTTTATACTTTAATAGATTTTGAATTTCTGAATAAATAACAAACATAAAAGTTTGTCTGCTTTTTTTTTCATTTTAATTTGATAGATTACTCAGAAAGCCAATCTAAAACAAGATTAATCAGAAAACCAATCCAAAACAGTACAATTATGCAAAAAAAATGCAAAAAAAACTTTATGACTTACTACAAATCACTTCCGCTATTTTCAACGATCCAAATTTAAGCTTTCCTTTCTTTCCGTACCAGTTGTAACTCTCTGCCAAACGGCTTTTGATTACATGGCTCAGAATCGCGCTGACCATATCTGGTGTGTTTTTCCGCCAATCAAAGACAGGTAGTTGACCTGAATGTTAAGTGTCATTAAGGCTTAACACTAAAACAGTATTTAAACATAACAAAAATTTCAATTTTTGAAAAAGAACTATAATGAAAAGAACTATGAATATGAAGAAATAATTTTTTAAAAAACAAATCTCATTATCTGTTTTCATAGTACATGTATTTAATGGTTTTTACTGTATGCTTCAGCTTTTACAGCTAAAATTACATGTTTTAAAATTTACAAAAAAAAAACAAAATTCGATAAATTTATCATTGTATAATGAATTGGCCAAAAACAAGCATTTGCTTTCAGAGGCACTTATTAAAGGGCATTGAGACAGTACATGTATATATACTGATAGACAAAAAATACACTTGTAGAGACAGGTTTTCTTACCATGTTGTTGAGAACAGTCTGTTGTCTCAACTCTTTTTCTAACCCTTCAACATCCTCCAAAGATTGGAGGGGAAGGGTAATACCTTCAGGCAGACTGAAGGTACTGGAGCTGCTCACTTTTGATGCTCCTAGCTCCTGTACCATATCTAGAAGAGTTTCAAGCATTCTACGTTGCTGGTTTTGTTCGATTCTAATTTTTTCGATACTAGTGAACACTTCTCTTGAGAAGCGAACATGATCTCTATCTAAAATTTGGCAAGAAAAAAAATGTTATTACACAAAATCAGGAAAAAATCACAGTAATGTCATGGTTCTCAAGGCTAAATGTTCATCCTTAAGAAAGATGACAAGTCCTAGCTTGATATAAACAACATTAAATTTTTACGCAATTAATCTTATATTAGCACCCATTGTTTTTTTAAGAAATTACCCTGACCTTTTTTTTTGGAGCAAATTATGAAGAGAAGTCAACCTCAATTACATAAATGCAAAGCTAATTATCAAAAAATACAAAAAAAGGTATGTATAACTAAAAGGCCAAAACATACTTGCATCTGGAGCTGCTGTTTCTTGCGTCTTTGAGCCAACTTTCACATTTGGAGTGGTTGCCAATGGGATACGTGGCGGTGGTTTTGGAAGAGATGGCGATTTTGTTGAAGGCAGTGGTGATGAGATGGAAGACAGTGGTGATGAGATGGAAGATGGTGGTGAGATGGAAGACGGTGGTGATGATTTAGAAACTGTCAAAAGCATTGATTGAACTTCTTCCTGAGACCCTTCCTCTGTTATCTTACTGCGTGAAACAGCAGTAAAATCATGCCTGTCCTCATCTTCATCAGATGAAGAAAATACTGTTTTTCTAAAATAGTTAAAAACATAACCCCTGTATTAATTTAACATAATAATGCTCTAATCAAGGGAAAATATTCAATATTTCATTATTTACATGTTATGTGGGATAAATGACTGATTTAACAGTATCAATCACTATAATTTTACTGCGTTACTAACGCGTAGACGTTACTAATGCAGTAAGAGTAAAGACGTATTTATGTATATTTGGATCATTTTTTTTGATTATTTCTTCTTTGTTCAATTCATAGTATTTACTTTAAAATACATTTTTAAAATTTTCATGAAAATAAGCATGAATCTGATGGCATGCTGCTTTAAAGACTTTAAAGATGTTGTTGACAGTACCTTTAATCAATGTACTGTATTCCATATGCATTTATTTTAGTATAATTAATTCTACAAGTGGCCAGATATCAGCTACATGACCCTAGTCATTGAGCATTTGAAAGCTACTTGATTTTTTTACATGTTATAAAAAAATTTATAATAATTGTGAGTGTCATCACTGATGGTGACTGAAAGATACTAGAGAATGTTTTTTTAACATTTCACAATTAACTTCTAGCCAAGAAAAAACAGCTACCTGATTTTTCTCTTTGATCGGCGGTATGAATCTGCCTCATCTTCACTAGCCTCTAAGGCAGTTGCTAGGTCAGATTCATCTTCTGCTTCACGCAGCTTCTTTCGTACCTTATCATATGATTCTACAACAGCAATAATTTAAATATATTAATTTTAAGTAGTTTAAGCCAATTTTGACCACAATGTGATATTAACAATGTAATTCAATCAATATTTATAAGCATGACAAAGAAAGTGTAATTTTACATTTTTTAAGACAAGCCTGATTCAATTGAAATTTTCTTTTAAAATTACATGTATTCAGTATTTGCAATAATCCTTACTTACACAAAAGGATATATTACATATAAATACAAACATACAAATCTGGTGAAAGTAAATCAAAATAATCAAATTAACACAATTTACCATGTTCGTACAATTCACGGATTGGGAAGGATTGCCAATCACCCTGCGGCTCAATCTTCTTCATTGCAGCTTTAGTAATTTTAGAAGATACCTTCCAGCTTGGCCATAAAGCACATTTTGTTCCATCACGCCATTTGTCCGGAATTACAGCTAAACATTTTTCATCAGTGAATTCAACTAGCACGTACATTCTAAATGTAGTAACACAAACATTCCAACAAACTTTCAAAAGAAAGTGATGAAAATGTACCAATATTTTACAATATAAGTCTTTATTGCTTAGACAAATGGATTCACATTTGCAGATTTTTTAAACATATACAGGGCTGATTTTCTTAAACTATAAAATGTCAGCACATATCTACCTATTTCATGACACGGTTTTGTTTGCTAATATCTAAACTTTTACAACATTTTTAATGATTGTACATGTACATACTTTCCCTTTCCAGAAAGAGACCTAACGAAACATATAAATTAGGTCAAACATAACTACATTCTGAATTGCTAAAATTTCTCTTAAGGTTTTTTTCCACAGCGTTTTTCCCCCGTAAATAACTGATACCTGCAAACGGCACCCCTTCCCAATAGAAAATAAACAGCAAATATCCTGAATCATGACTGGTAAACTCCCTAAATAAAACTAAAATTTACCACAAAAATTGGCAAAATTCAAGGTAAAAAAAAAAACCCAAAAAACAGTAATGGATGCCTCCATATTTATTAGTGATTTACAATAAAAACCAAGTATAACCACATGAGTAATATTCGTTACCCAATTCATTTCGTACTTTCAACATCATTTATAATAAAATTTTATCAATTTTTTTTTTCAACCTTAAGAAATCATACATGGTTTTTAGAGTGTATTTTTTACTTAGATTAATGAATATTTTGCATCTTTTGTAAAAATTCCAAATTTCAGTAAAACCCATGTCAAGTACTGGCACTATTCCAAATGCAGGGAAAATAAACCACTGTTCCATATAGGTTGTTTGTTTATACCTCCTACGGATGAGAAAGGGGCCGAATATCTCAAATAAAAAATACTGTAAAACCATGTTGTATAATGCACAGGAGATTCAATAGAAATTTTTTATATCTTTTACTTTAGGATATTTTTGCATGTTTGCCATTTTTTGGCATAAGGAAAAAACCTTTAATCAGTTGTAAAATATAAGGAAAAAACATCAATTTAACTTATCCTGATGAAGGTCATTATATGACCGAAACCGGTAGATAAATAAATTCACTTAAACTCACTCTGGTGTTCCTGACATGTTGTTTTCCATCCTCTCCTTGATTAATCAATTTAACTTGTTTAGATTCTTAGGAAACACATAAAAGGCCTCCAAAATGCCTTTATTTCTCATAATCATTTTAATTTTGGTGTATTTATAGTATCCAAAAAAAGTTACTCTTTGGCCAAATTACTGGAACCATCTTTTTCATCTGTTGATTTTTGGAAATAAGTTAAAACTTACAGTGACTAAGTATTTTGTATCGAAGTCAAAATAATAGTTGTGACAAATAACTTCACATTTTGGCTACATTTCAGGTAATAATTAAGCATTTACAAAAATGTAATATCTCTGTAAAACCACTGTTTAACCATTATAAAAATGAATGTTTTCCTTTTTTTTTTAAAGAAGTAAAAATTTATTTAATTCTAAGGCTTAATTAATGTGTAAAAATTACTTTATAATGTGTGCAGAAGGGGAATGGTCAAAAACTTTTCCTGGAAAGGTAAAGAGAACACACTTGAAAACCTCACAAGCTTTGGTAACTTTCATTTCTCCAGTTAGACCAGAAACTACAAAAATTCTAAGGTCAGATGAAAGTAAAGGAATATCAAAGAAGTTAGAGACATCTCCAAATTCCTCATATATTAGTGACTTTTCTTATGTCAGTACTTTCACAAACTATGTTTCTTATAAGACCAACTTTATCTCCAACTAAAATGCAATTGTCACCAGTTTTTACAGAAAAGTACACTTCTTTTAACTGCAGTTCTTTGTATTGTTTTTGAAGCCTAACCTGCGGACTGATTGGTCCATTAATGTGATTTTTTTTAACAACACCAGATGTTTCAACTTTTTGTCTTTTATTTGGTTGCCAATTACTATTTTTCAGACAGTCTTCGTATTACTTGTTGAAGTGGAAAATTTGGTTTTCTTACAAGTCGTTTCAACTTCCCTAGGAAACTCTCAAATATGAACGCTGAAAAATTATCCAGAACACCATGTTTTTTCTACATCACCTGCCAAGTGGACTAAATTATGAACATTATAGACAACTGTGTCTTGACCATATATCCTTGCAAAGTCATGCACAAACAAGCGTAGAAGGTCGTTTGCATAATTACAATACACACTACAATAAAATGGGCTGGAGAGACAATATATAGCAACAAACAACAACATAAAGTGCTTATAGGTTGAGCGTTGAAATAGTGCTGAACAGGACACAAGGACCGGTATAGAGTAAAAAACTGTCTGAGTTCTGTTGCTTTCCATCTATCAATCTCATTCAAAGGTCTCCCTTTCCTCAGGAACTCTCGTGAAGGTACTTCTGTAAACCTATCAGTTTCTCTGAAATTAAGGCTACAGACCTGGCGGCAATCCTACAATTAGATTCCAGGGGGCCTCTCATCCATAACAGAAGCAAACGTTTAACAACGCCTAAACATACTAAGTGCATATAATCCAATGGGAATTGTGAGACCATACCAATGGAAAGATTCATTAATGGTGAGCGACCTAGATGGTGTCCTTCAGAAGACAATTCATTGAACTGAAAATCAGTTCTCAAAGGGGAATCAATTAAAGGAAATGTCATTTTGCCTTTCCAACAACCTTTTTTGCATACACTTATCACATCCATGGTAACCACTGTGACCCTTAATCTGCTTAACATATGCCTTAGCAGGGGCATCACATATAATGGCTGATAAATTCACTTTCAAATACTGATTTGTTTCTTCTACATGCAAAAAAGATTCTGTTCAAGATACTGCATTTCTTCAACAAAGTCATGCAAGAATGCATTTACAATCCCCTGGCTTTGAATTGCCTACATAAAGTCCAATTACAAATGGCTCAGATGAAAATGGCTCAACAAGTCTACCTAAATTGGCCAAAATTGAGTGTTGGAACTCTTGAATAAAGGCAAACCATCTATATTAATCTGAATAGACAAACTGTCAGCTGCACAAAAAAGAATATGTTGGCTCTTTCAACAAAATTTTTTTTTCAAGCCTGCAGAGATGCCAAAGTGGTGGTAAGATCCGCCATTCATTTCACTGATTTCATACACTTTTTTCATCCTCAACAAAGTTCGTGGATCTTTGGGGAGAAAGTCATGGTAGGTACTTAAAATATGTAAAAGTTCATACACTGCAGTGTGTGGAATGCTGAACTTTGTTACCCAACCTGCCAACTTGTCCTTCAGATCAATTTCAATATCATCTATGCTTTCTTCTGATGAGGAAGTATCAGATATATCATCAAAACTCAATGTTGAATCATCTAAGTTCTGATCAGAATTAATTTGCAAAATTTCATTGTGCTGTCTATCACATGCAGCTTCTCCCACTATGTCATCAGAAGTTACGTTCGATTGATTACCCTCACTACAATTATTCTGGTCATTTTCACGTGTGTCATTGTAAACAAAAATCCATGTGCTCCCTAACATTGGATCTAATTTTCTCGGTAAGACCTCCAATAGGACATACTTGCTTACAATTAGTACAAGGATTATTTGGTTTGCCAAGCTATAGACTACGTATGTGTAGGCAATCCAAATCTAGGGTAATCCGAATCACTTCATTTAATTTCTTTTTAATCCAACAAAAACAAAATGATGTTCCAAATGTTTCAATGAATTCAAAGAATCAATGCATATAAGTATACAAAATTTAGCACCTGTGTGTAGGGAAATATATGTTTCGTGTGATCCAGAAGTACTTGAATGACAAGTTTTTCAGATAACCTTTGTTTTAAATGAAGGCTTTAAAATTTTGATCTGCAGTGTATATTTTACATTTCTTTTCTCATGTTGTAGGGTAATCAATTAATAAATTTTCTCGTTGTTTTTCTATTTTTACTGCAACAGTTGATCTATAAAAGATGGTAATAATGTGATGTTTAAGAAGAAAGAAATGACACCAGTTCCTTTCAGATTATGTCATTTAAATAAAATATAGCTTTCAATATATAAAGGTGATTCTAATTGCCTACACTAACTGTATACCCAGCACTATCACCTTTAAAACAGAAAATGAAAAATAAAAAAATGAATGATTATTTTAACCAACTTCCCTGCTCATATTCATATCAATTAAAGAAAAAATTCCAGTAGAAGGGAAAGCATGTACATGCACATTAATAAACTGTGAAAGTGAAAATTATCAGCAAGTATGCAAAACACAAACATATTTTTTTTACAAAATAAAATTATAAAAGCGAATATTTAGTACATTCTAACTTTGATGTGCAAATTATCACTGCCCTGTTAATGCATGTCGCGAAAATATGTAACAAATATTTTCAACCTTGATTTTACATTAAAATCAGACAAACAGATAAATGGTTTATTTTTCCAATCACTTAAAGTGTTAAAATCAAATAATTAACAATGTTTACACATTTGATAAATCATCATTACTTTAAAATATAAATAATTTCATCACCTTCCTTTGATTAGCTTTTTTGCGCTTGTTCTGTTGAAAGTAGAAATGCAGTGAATATTTGCCAGATTTGCATTTAAATTATAATTGAAGAGTGTTTTTTATGTGCTTAGAAAATAAATATTGAATTCAATTACAAACAACATATCATTTTAAAAACTCAGCTAAAATTATTTTATAAATTCATATCAAAATGTACAATTATTTGCTGCATGGTAATCAAGGGAGGGAATAAACCTAACAGAATTCCCTCCCTTGTCTACTACAAAAAACCGGACAGTAAGACAGTACGTAAATATAATAAGTAAAGAACAACGGGGTTTCATTGGAATTAATTTATTTCATAATATTTCAACGATTTAACAAAATATGGATATGTGACAGAAAACGCAATATCGTACCGATGTCAATCCGATATACAAAAATAGTTTGCATTTATTTATCATGTAGGCCCGACGCAGACCCGATGTCCTTTTTTTGATGTAACATGAAATGTGGTTAATGTGGTTCTAGTAATTGAAATCATACACAGGACTATTTATCAACATAATTAAGTAAACAATACCATTGCATTTAGAATTTTTCAAAATATTGAGCATGTCGGCACTGCAGCGGTCCGACGTCGGCCCCAAATCGGCAAACTTTGCCGACATGCCGACATTAACCGTACATCGGCCCGATATAGTCGTGCTGGCTGGGGAGGGTCATTCAATAACGCAAACATGTGTTCTTGTTTTTTTGTGACAATAAGTTTCTTTATTAAACATTTTCCATCATACATCATGTTGTTAAAATGAAAAAAATGTAGTTAAACAACAAAAATAAAAATATTTAAAAGTTATCTACAACTGATATTAATATAATAATTAATAAGCTAGTGGTAACGCATTATTGCCAACTAATCCATTTTTACCAACTATCTATAAAAATACGTATCCATTACCTACAATGTAATCATTACATTTGTTTACATTAATTATCAACTTTAAAAAAACTAGTGCAAAAATATAATAATTATAGTGAAAAATGAATAATAATAATGACAACAATAGAAATAATAATTATAATAATAATGAACTTCACTGTTAATATATATATATATATAATAATACGTGACTTCAACTGATTTTTCTCATTTTCTTTTCAAAAAATATGCCATGTTTATTTGCCAGGGTGATATTGAAATGAGAAAAATAAATTAATGTCAGTTATTTTTAGTATAAGATTATTTCATTTTTACTATTTTTCTCATTAAACTTATATACCTAGAAGTGTTAATGAAAATATCAGATAAACAATTTTGCTTTATCAATATAATATAACTGTTACATATACCGGGATGTGTTCCCAAATTACCCATTACTTCAGTGTGGGCATAGAAAAGTTGTTTGAAGTGGCAAATAGGTGAAAGATAAGCATCTTTGCTTTCTAACATTAACAAAATGAAAAGGTACTTTACTCGTATAGCATTTAATGATAGGAAGAGTTTACTTTTCTTTTTCTTTTTTAATAACTGATAAATAAACAAATAAATAAATAAAGGGATGAAAAAATAAGTAAATAATAAATAATTAAATAAATATATGAATAAATAAATATATATATAAATCATTGATTTTATATAAGGTGATTGAAATGTGATAAAAACATCAAATGGTAAAAATGTTATTAAACTGCGGTATATCATTATCAATAATATGCAATAATGTGATTGATTGCTGTCATGAAAATATATTGTTTCAATGTTGAGTAAATAGCTTAATTATTTAACCCGGTTCAGAGAGAATACAAAACTCATTCAACCAAAGTTATATTTTTATGGTTATATATTGGCACAACTTCATCTGTTAATTCTTTTGAAATTATATCCAAGTTTATGCGGACAAATAACACATAACTGTTTGCTATGCATGTATGTTCCAAAAGTGCCAATTCAATGTTCTAAGATTTCTTTACTCAAAGAAGTCGTAAATCTTATAAGCTATCGTACAAACTCTAGTTGTAAAATAATGTCCATTTTACTGACAGTCGATTCCACATTAATCATTTCGCTAGTAGTCAATAAATTTACTGAAGCACTACTAGTCTTACCACATAACGCGGAAATAATACAAGTTACACATTGTGTTGATTAGTTACACAACGTGTGAGAAGTTCTACATCATCTTTAGGCATTTCATTAAAAAAATAAATGCGTTTTTAAAAATAGTATAGTATAATATACCTTGCCTACCTTATGATAACTATTATTTGCCTACCTTATGATAACTATTATAAGTTCAAATACAAACAAGAGACAATGTGAATACATAAGCCGACCTCTGGTAAAATATTCGACCTGCGGGGGATAATAACATTCCTGCCTTATGCTCGGAACAGCACAAACGTCAAAACATGATCATGATTCTTGTTTTAACCCGCACTCCCCCGGGGCGAAACTAAAAAAAATTGTATTCAAAACTTAAATAAAATGTGTATGCAAAAAACAAATATGTATTCAACACTTGAATAAAATATGTATGCGAAACAAAAAAGAACAAAAACAAAAATCTAAACAAAACAAAAAAAATAAAGAATTTGCAACTGTCACTTTTATGCCACCGTACATAACTGAAAATGGAACTATTTTTTTTCATCAAAAAACCAAAGTATCTCAAAAATGTTCGGCCATGGTAAACGAGGTTGCTTTGTTATAACAAATATAGTACTATTTATATTCATAAGTGTTTTCAATGATATGTTTCTTTTGGATAGTTTTTCCCTGTGTTTGTTCTTCTTTTCTATTTTATTGTTGTTGTTGTTGTTGCTTCTTTTTTTTGAAAAAAAAAACAACAAAAAAACAAACAACAAAACAAAAAAACAAACAAAAAAAACCCCATTAAACTTGCAATAACATTTATGCATATAAAAGGGCTTATAATCTTATAGTTTTATTTTTTGTAATAAAATTTCATGCATTGTTACTGCAACAAACAAAAATTAAGGCAATTTTCCTGAACATTCATGGAATATAATTAAATAACTAACATTATGTTGCAGAATTCTGATGATGATCTCATATCTATTTTTCTGGTTATCGAAAATAAAAATCAATTTCAATATAATAAACATAATAAGAAAAATATGTGTATTAAAGAAAGCTATTGGATGATAAAATCTAGTATCAAAATGTTAAAAAGGTTAAAGGCACAATCTGTCGCAGAAATCCATAATATTTAAAATGTTTAGAAATGTAAAACATGTATTCACTATTGTTTTAATCAAAGATTTAGAGAATGTAAGATGTTTAACATATGAGGAAAGTATCGCTGAATGTTCAATAATATGTCGTAAAGGTAGCAATATGTAATCTAGGCAGTATTTTGACTTCTACACGAAATACTTATTTAGAATAATTATATTAATCGCAAAATTATTCTATATAGAAAATGAGATCTTACCACTTTTAAGAAACTGTAACAGAATACTTAACTTAAAATTTATAAAAAGGTTTTGAAAAATGAAACTAAGAGCAATTTGTAGGCATGATGTGCCTTTAATTGTACATCCCAAAGATTATGAAAAACCAGATATGCGTAATATGATATTACACAAAACACAAAGCACTGACAATACAAGACATAAAATTTATACATTTTTCTGAATATATTTTTGCAGAATCAAATAATGAGTTTCATTCTGTAAAGAAAAACAAAAATAAAACAAAAATAAAACGATAGTCGAAACACGATGAATTGAGAATACCAAAATCACTTCAGCAACTTCAATGTTAAATGTTTATGTATGATGTTTTCATCGCGCATTCAAAATATCTGCGTTTGTTCCGATGAATCACTTGTCTTAACAACCATTTTTATCCGTATTGTATGGTTACTCCCTATTTGACGCCGTTTTATCTTATTATCCAGTATACGTCTTATTGATTTGTTGAATATCAAATCACTTTTTTCCTTTCTTCTCTTATCTGTAAAATAAAATAATTCTATTTTCATGTTTTTCCAAATCAAATGTGTTCCATAGATAATTATAATGAAATGAAAGTCATACATTAATTTAAAAGTTTTAAACAATCAACTTCCTGACACAAATGAAACACATGATTGTGTGTATTTTATAGGAATGTTATGATTCGCTTCTAAGGACTGACAAAATTAATAAATTAAACGAGACTTACCTGGAAGTTGAAGTTCAATTATTATTCTACTGCTACTGGACCACAGGGTTTAATGAGATGAACATATGATCTTATCAGATGACCAAGCAGACTTTCAGAGCATACATAATTATGCAAAATGCGACAATGGCTTATACATATGGGAGGGGTAATTGGGTGGGCATTAAACCCTGTGGTCCAGTAGCAGTAGAATAATAATTGAACTTCAACTTCCAGGTAAGTCTCGTTTAATTTATTAATTCTACTGCACTGGACCACCTAGGGTTAATGAGATTTTAGAGACCATGCTCGCATTTTGATAAGTCGTTAAAACTTCATAACCAAGTACAATGATTACGCATTCAATCTACGACTATAAACTTTTCAAAACTGAAAATGTAATGTACAAAATAAAGTATGCAATTGCCATATACATAAAATGCTGTAAAAGTAACAATCATTATAAAAGAATACTATTCCCTATTTCTACTGTGCGGAAATTAAAGGTCATTATAGGCTTGACCCCTGCTGCAATGTTACATTGCAAAATTGATACATTGTATTGTATATTGTAAACAGAAAATTGCAAACAAGTTTGACACACATATACGTGTAGCACAAAATTCTTTCACATGTAGTGATATTCGAAGTTTTCTATGGTTTTAAAGCAACATATTTATGTTTTTAATTATAATTTCTTTAGGCTCGATTTCTGATATCTTGCAAAATCAGTGTTTTT